TTGCCAGACCAGCACCGGGCACCACAGGATTACACCAGGAGCTCTCTCTCTCTCTCTCTCTCTCTCTCTCTCTTTCTCTCTTTCTCTCTTTCTCTCTTTCTCTCTTTCTCTCTTTCTCTCTTTCTCTCTTTCTCTCTTTCTCTCTTTCTCTCTTTCTCTTCTTTTTCCAAAGTGAATCTTTTATTGTAGTTACATATACATTAAGTAGTCCTGATCAGCGTTTTGTTCAGGACTACTTAACCCATGGGCTTTATAATGGGTTTTAACGCTGTTGCGGCGGTATAGAATGCCGTAACGGCTTAAGCCCCCAGGAGCCACCAGCTACTCACCTTCCCAGATTTTCGCTTCAGGAGGACTGCCTCATAGCACAAGCAGTTCTCTCCGGCAAATCAGGCCCCTGGGGGGCATGTATTCGCTCTCAAGGAGCTATGACTTGGCCCCCCGTAGCTGGCTGTGAACGCTAAAGTTGGCCAGTGTTTGTGACTAAGTGGCTACTAAAAAAGACTGGACATACCCCACTTGCAATATCTTAGGTTGTGTACTTTTGCAAATGGTATGCCATCATGGGGGTAACAATCAATCCAGAGCTACCACACAGTCTCAAAGGTAACATTACTAATCTGGCAAATTTTAATGTGAAAAAAATGGAATGTGCTATATTTGACACTGTAACTTTCCAAAACACAGTAAAATCTGTTTTGAATTCTATGTTTCGTTTTGCTCAGAAGTGCTTCAAACTTGAGAAAGGGAGGTTCTCCCGAAAGCTTGTCATTAAAAAAATTCTGTTAGTCCAATAAGAAAGGTATTACAAGATAAGAATTGTATCTGTTTTTTACATATATATGTGTATTTAATTGTGCATTTTTACACTGGAGGTATGGAAATAAAAAAGCTTTCAAAAGCCGCAGATCTCTTGTCTGTTGCATTTGCAAGCCCTACCCTTCTTAGGTTTAACTATGGTGCCAAACAGTTTTATTTCATTATATGACAAACATATTTTGTACAAATAAAGCAATTTATTGTTTTAAGTAAAGTATACAAAATTGATAAAGAAAAAAGACTAATTATGAATCGGTGTGATAAATTACATTCTCCATACAAATAAAATTTTATTATCTTTACAGCTGTTATGTTGATTAATATTTTTGTTTTGCATTTCATAGTTTATTTCCTCCTATGAGTTCATTAGGTGCTTCCTTTCATTTATGTGTTTGTTTTATGAAATTTCTTGTTGATACCTTAAAGCATATGTATTCACAGGGTTATAATAGACTCTAAACATCATATACAATTGCAAACTGATGTGAACCTACAGGGAAATTTTATAGCTGAGTACAACTCAGAAAACAAAGTGTGATTTTATCTGTTTTAATTTCAGAGTTTACAATAACCCCAGGCAACCCCTTCAACATTGATAAGTACAGCCAATTATAATTTTAACTGAAGAGATTGCCACCTGGAAAGAATGGAAATTAGCAAATGAAAAGATGAAAAACTGACACTATGGGAGTACTAAGTCTAAATTTATGTGTAGTATATTGTTAATCCTATAGTTTACTAAATCCAGCCGAGACTCACCATCTGGTGGCAACAGTGGTAAAGAAAATTTTACATAATTTTTCACAAAGAAGGAGTATGTCAATAATGTAAAATAATCATGCATATTTAATAGAGCACATTTTTGAACATTTAATGACTACCATGAAAAGCAACAAACCAGCATGCATTAGCATTTAAACATAAAATTATAACCATCATGTTACTTTTAGATAATAAAAATAATTGTATGAAAATCAACAGGTTTCTGTACGCTAATTAAAATATTCATACACACTAGTCACATACGTATATATACACATTTTGTGTATCACTTTTTATTTGTTTGAAATACATTGTTCAAGAAACTCAAGATAAACCATCGTCTGGATGGTACAACTTTTGAATTCATATTATTGATAATTATGTATTTCTAAATGAAACTGGTTCAAGTTTGGTTAATTCAAAATGGGCCACCAATGGTGCACTTTATAAATCCCAAAAAATTAAACTTTGAATAGATTATAAACCTCTTCACTCTCACTAATATGTTTACTTGTTTTAATTGTTAATAATATAATACTAAGGGGCAGGGCCTGACTGCCACGTGGAGCAGACGTGTGCAGAGAGAGCTCTGGCACCACTATTCAGGCAATAATCCTAATAGGTTAGCTGATTCGGCTGCAACAACTTGACCTCTATACTGAGGGGACCTAGGCGAACCTGGGGATACCACACTTGTGGCTCATCTTGACTACACTACCCAGACCAAGCCAAAAGCCGCAGGACGAGGGAGAGGCGGACACTCTTCTGGAATTCTAGCTGGCCTCACGAATCTGGCACGAATCCCTGGAATCTCACGAATCCCTTTTGGACCTGTGGTGGATACCACTGTCCCAGGAGTCCATCAACCACCACCAGCCACTCACTGATTTGGCCCGCGAGGCTTCAAAGATGGCGGATACAATGTCTGCTCTAGACCACATCTTCACAGAATTCCTGGCACGGTTAACTGAGAGGAGACAGAGAGCGGAATCCCTCTTACAGGTGAAGAGTATGCAGGGGAAAGAGCCCACCCAGCCATGTGAGTCAGTCTCATGTGGGGGAAGAGGCGCCGACCCGACCAGAGTGCTGCATCTTCCTAACTTAGAGGTGAAAGGCGAAACTGCTCAGGCACATGTCTCTGGCACTGAGCTGTTGGGGATCAAGTCTGGGAGTGATTAGAGTAGGTCTCTTATAAAGCTTTCCAAGATGGCGGTAATGATCAAGAGACCTTGTGGGAACTCCGGGCAATGCTGCAGCCTGTACTCCCAAGCTGTAAGGCTCAAGACAAGTGCGTAATCTACTCTCTCAATGTCTTTACTCAGCTAAAAGAAATGTGTGCATTAATCTTGATATACATTATAACTTGCAATGTCATATTCAGAATTGCTCTCCGTGCATAATAAGCATCTGTCTTTATCTGCACAAGAAAAATAAAGAATTATATTTAAAAAAAATTGGTTATTTATATATATATATATATATATATATATAATATTACCAATTTTTTTTATATATATATATATTACCAGAGACTAGTAAGATCACCAGCAGCTAATATTTAGATAATGAAATTGAACTTGCAAATGAAATAAAAATGTAAAATCTATAGCAGCAAATGAAGCAGAAACAATATAAGTAAAATATACAAAAAAAATGTACAAGGTGATAAAACCAGTAGTTGAAACAAAAATAAAGACATAAAAAAGTAAATGGCTTAAAAAATAGAAAATGAGAAGTCTCTAAAAGTTTGTGTAAAATAAAAATTATTTTATGATTAAAAGTCTTTTATAATAACCAAATATTAAGAATGTCTTGGATTGAAGTCTCTTGGGAGTCCTTAAATATAAAGTTCACAACAAATGTAGCAATGGGGACCTGGATACTGTGGCAACAATATAAAAACAAAGGTGGAAATGTTGCATAAACTCTTTGCTTGAATAATATCTTAACTATCCCCACACAGGATTGAGTGTGCAGCGTCAGACACACTGCCAGTCTGGAGACAGGGACTCGTTGATGCTGCTCACTGTGATGAGGTAAGCAGCGCGGGGGCATGGGACCTGACACAAGTGCTCCCTGATGAGACATTGCTAAATGCAGCGAAGTCTCTCATTCCAATCAGGTAGCGTGTGACTGAGGTGCCGACTGTGCAACACTGGATGGACAAGGTTGAAGAACTGTATGACATGGAGATGATGACTGCCTCTCTTTGTGGAAAGGCCGAGCAAAGTGCACTGTAGCGGAGTAGCAGGGGTTAATCCAAGGATTCTCCGCTGGAAACACAGATTCAGCATACAGAAGTACAAAACACCGCATAATCCCCCTCCCCAAGGAATAGACAACACATAGTCTGGGAGTTAACTGGCTTTTAATGCACAAGCTCTGCTTTTATGTGTTTTTCCCATGCCAGGGAGGCAACTTCCATAATTATTACAATATCCAATAACATAGTCGGTACCTCCCCCACATCTCCTCCCCTTAGCTTAACAATTAACCTTATGAAAATGTACACATTTTTCCCCAATTCTCGGATGTACCCCAAATATGGGGAGTACACCTTTAAATGAGGGATCCCCTGGTAGCCCTGATCTGGGTGAGAAACATACTCAAAAATCACCCATATCGGACCAGGGGTTCGGGAGTTATTGAAGGATAAAGATTTGACCGACCGCACAGGCACAGTAGCCGAAAATAGTTCCATGAGTTCTAGCCCTGCGGTCGGTCTCAGTTCATATGTAAAAAATCCCGAAAGTCTTTGCCATCCATTACTAACTTTGCCTTCGGATGAATCCTCTGGTTCGCGGGATTCATCCTACCGAATGGTGGGCTGTTCGTGTGTTTTATTCGCCATTTTCTGGAGTGTTGGAGGTCTTAGCGGTGCTTAGTTAGTCGAGTGTCCGATTTGAGTTCCAGACACTTGACGACCAAACACGTGTTCGGCATGCGAATGGCGGCCGACCACGATTCCCAATTAACAGACTTTGCAACATTGTTGCCTTTCGGTAATGAGGGGCACACGACTACACCGGGGTGGTCCCTCATTCGGTATTTTACAGCGTTTTCGTGAGCAATGCAATGCATACAGTTCGGGAACGGATTGCCTGAAGATAATCTTCCCAATAGCAATACGGCCTTTTTAATCCTAGTTCATTCGAATCTCAAAGGTCCTTTCTCAGTCCCTTGGTGGCTAGGTTTGCCACATGCACAGCTATGGTTGCCCTGGTGAGACTGTCTTGCGGCATACGGCCAATCCTACTTAAAGAATGTTTCACCCAAGCCATTTTGAGAGACATAAGTAGGCCATAGCTATGACCGACATTACTGGCTTCCGGGAGCAGTTGTCCTTACAGACGACCATGGCCCAATTATTGCTAGTGATGTCGCGAACCGTTCACGAACTTGCGGCGAACTCCAGTCAGCTGACACATCCCTGCCAATCTCCATTAGACCCTCCCTCCCAGACCCTCCTACTTCCTGGACAGCATCCATGTTGAAGGCAGCTTCAACATGGATGCTGTCCAGGAGGTGGGAGGGTCTGGGAGGGAGGGTCTGCCGGAGATTGGCAGGGATGTGTCAGCTGACCGGAGTTCGCCGCGAACGGTTCGTGGCAAGTTCGTGAACGGTTCGCGACATCACTAATTATTGCATGTGAGATGAGTAGTCAAATTCACCTGCTAGTGGGTGATGGGGCAGGCTGACCTAGTGCCTGTGGGTGTCGATTGGGATTTGATTGTGGTGTGGCGGCTGCTGATGGGAGAGGCCATCAGTCATGGTAAATGCGATTAACAATTCGCTCATGCTGTGAGCAACTCCCCCTCTTTTTTTTTTTTTTTTTCCTCTCCTCTATCTCTTTTCCCCCTTTGCTTATCCTCCCCTCTCTATGCCCTTCCTGACTCTGCACAGAGGCAAATGATGGTTTAATGTGGTCAGAGAAGGGATGGACTCTATTACCTGATGTGATTCACACAAGCTGTTAAACACCTTGTCAATGCTGGCTATAAGATTTCCATGCAAGAAAATTCTGTTATGATGTCTAAAATATCACTTTATGCTCTGTTTTATGTATAAAATAACTAAACTATTCAGACTGGTTGCATACTATAATAAAATGAAGTTCACGTGTTAATGTCAAACAAGGTGAAATAACTTTTATCACAATAAGATATTACATGGTACCAATTTAAAGAGGTGTTGATCTGCTTGGGATCAGTCATGTTTTTTTTGAGAGGGTTTGATAAGCAAAATATATTGTTATAAGAAGAGTAGAGGGACTGAGTAGGGCATATTGACAAAAAAATATATATAAAAATATGTGAAGAACAAAATATTAATTCTACACTGTGTATAGATTGGAGCTGGGTGGCTACAGGTTAAACTTTTAAAAAGGGTCTTGAAGAGATGGCATAGTCATAAGTGATACTAAATATATATAGTATAGTATATGTATGTTTATAGTATAGTGTGTGTGTGTGTGTGTGTATATAAGTAAATAAATATAAGTAGATTGGGTGATTAATTTAATTTTTATTGAAGCTTAGTGTGGCCACCAAGTGGAGATACTATTGAAGCAGTCTGTAGTGTGAGATTTGAAACTGTGAAAAATAAGATCATCTTTGTTAGTCTTATCTGCATGTGTATCCTATTGTTTTAAAACTACAATTGATTTACAGTTACACATTTCTGATAGGGGTACTGTGTGGCAGTTGACTTATCCCATTAAAGGAGCACTATAGGGTCAGGAACACAAACATGTATTCCTGACCCTATAGGGTTAAAATAATGCCTCCATAAATGTACTTGTTTTCAAGTCTGGAGCTGCTTGCATTGTCATTGTTTCCTTTAGACCTGCCCACAGCCTGCTGACATCAGCAGAAGTGGTAGCCTGATCCAATCACAATGCTTCCCAATAGGATTGGCTGAGACTGACAAAGAGGCAGACCAGGGGCAGAGCCAGCATGGTTCAAACACAGCCCTGGTCAATCAGCATCTCCTCATAGAGATGAATTGAATCAATGAATCTCTATGAGAAAAGTTCAGTGTCTGCATGCAAAAGGAGGAAATACTGAACGTTTGGATGCATTTTAGGCAGCCATGACCCAGGAAGGATCTCTAACAGCTATCTGAGGAGTGGCCAGTGAAGTTATCACTAGGCTGTAATGTAAACACTGCATCTTCTCAGAAAAGAGAGTGTTTACAGGTAATGATTCTACTCACCAGAACAAATTCAATAAGCTGTTGTTGTTCTGGTGACTATAGTGTCCCTTTAACCCCTTAAGGACACATGACATGTGTGGCATGTCATGATTCCCTTTTATTCCAGAAGTTTGGTCCTTAAGGGGTTAAAAGTACTTATGATTTAGGGAGCTGTAATGCTGGTTACTGATAGGTTATGTCTCTCCAGCCCTGGCATCTACATCAGGTGTGCAATAGCGTTCTGTTATTAACGAACAAGTGTATGGATATACTATAAGATACTCAAAATAACTAGTACCTGAGTATCCACTGGAATAATAAATAGTAATGATTCTATACAAAGTGAGATAGATAGATAGATATATATATATATATATATATATATAGAGAGAGAGAGAGAGAGAGAGAGAGAGAGAAAGAGAGAGAGAGAGAGAGAGAGAGAGAATGAATACAATAATAGAAAAATGGGTCAGGTGAAAGTATAAAATAACTGCCTAAGGGTAAAAAACTCCCTTACTAATGTCTCTAAAAGTAGATATTGCAGTACACAGGTTTAGACTTTAATATATAATGCTTCATAGGTCAATATCTGTGAATGCAGGCTGGTATCAATACATCAACAGAATATATAAGAGACATTAAGGACTTGCTTTTACCTAGTAAATCTCAAACTGTGGCATTATATAAGATATAATACTAGATTGCTAGCATATTGGAACATTAGAGGCTGAGTAAGCAGAAAATTATAAATAGATACTATATGTGAGATCTATTGAAAATAATTCAATCAGTAAATTGTATCAAAAAAGTATCTATAATGTTAACTGCCATGTACTCAATTGCTAGCATATTGAAACATTCGTCTAAGGCAAAGGAAAGGTTTTTTTTTACTGTAAGAACAATGATGATGTGGAATTCTCTGCCTGAGGATATCAGAGTCCATACAGATGTTCAAACGGCTACTAGATGCATACTTGCAAGAACAGAATATTCAAGGATATAATCTTTCAATGTAGGGTAATAACTGCTTGATCCAAGGATAAATCTGACTGCCATTCTGGGGTCAAGAAGGAATTTTTTTCCTAGCTTGTTGCAAACTTGTGCTGTTTTTTTTGCCTTCTTTTGGATCAACAGCAAAAAACAAATGTGCGGTAGGCTGAACTTGATGGACGCAAGTCTCTTTTCAGCTATGTAACTATGTAACTATAAGTAACTGAATAAGCAGAAGAGTATAAATAGATACTATATATTGGATATAAAATAATCCAAAAAATAAAATGTATTAAGAGTAGTATCTATCATAATAACTGCCACATATAAACTAAGTCCAAAATTATTGAATAGACAGAATATATCCACAAATGGATCTGTTATATAATATGCCACATATTAGGAGGTATAAAGCATAAGAGAGAGATAAAGTGAATAGTGAAAAAACAGTGTGCTAAATGTGCAGAGCCATGCTTAGAATGCTGGCTGCCTGCACATGGTGACAGAGTGCCCTATAAGTGAAAAAGATGAGGGGAAAGAAGACCCCCCCCTCCAAAATAACCCGACGCGCGTTTTGGTCTTATAAGGTGTGACCATCTACAGGCTAAGTGGTCTAGTCTATTTTTTAGACAGCCATTGCCTGTAGACGGCTTTCTTTTTTCTTGTTAAGTGTATGGATATAACATGCCAGTCGAGAGCTGTATGATGCATAACTATATAATACGCTGGGTTAAGAATGAGATATGAATAAGAAATGTTGAATTATACAATGAGAACAAATACGTTTTGCAATGTGTAGTCTCATTATTTTATTCATTGCATCAGCTGTGACTAATGCTAGATAAGCACCAGGTTTTTATTATAATATTTTAATTTTCATCATCCTTTCCATTTAATGCACATTGCACACTTAATGCATAAATAACAAATACACATACATTTCTGAAAATATATGTATTTTTTTAAAATAAATACTACAAAAAAATAGTATTTTTTTTTCCTTTGGTTAAATGTTATTTTCTAGTATCAGTGAACATTACAAAGGCAAATGAAAAATAGATATGTTTTTGAGCTTTTTGTAAACTTGAGAACTGGAGTTTGTTCCTGTCACAATACTACAATGCCAATATTTCATATTCACTGATATATTTACACTAACTAATACTAGTTTTCAGGGCATATTCTATGCTCTGGTCTATTTGCTAAAAGACACTTTGTTGTAGAATGAAAAATGAATGAATAATTCCAAACTCAGGATTCAGGTAAATAATTTAAAATGGGCATGTAAGAAATTCACTTTTTATTTTTGAATACCCCAAAGAAAATCATTTTTGACTGATTGAAGAACGTATCAGTCAAAATATGCACTTTTTTGATGTATGTTTTAGATTTAATACATTAATTTTGTTTAGTTTCTTAGGTATCTGAATTTATTATAGTATCAGACTTAAGACATAAATGTAAATATTCATCCCACTAGTAACTGGAAAAGCATTATAGTCTGTTTTGATGTAGCCTGTTTTTTTACTTTTAACTTAAAAATGTATTTCTTCTCACTTCAATTCAAATACATACCTAAGTCAGAACACGCTTCTCAGATGCTGTCATTACACGTTATGTCTAACAACTCAAATGTTAAATGTATTTTTCCAAGCTGAAAAACTTAGAATTGTAAGCTGTAGAAAACTACCATCTATGATTTTCATATCTCTATAAAAATGCAGAGTACATTTATTTAAGGATGTACAATAAGAAATTGGTCTACTGTGCATTTAGAAGGGAAACCAGTAATGTGAAAAGTGTATTATTGGAAGGACCTAACACAATGGCACTTAAAGAATATACAAATATCTCTGCTGCTTTAGCTAAACATTCATTTTGTTGCTCTATTAAATATTTAATACTTTTGTTGCTATTCCCACATGCCCACCAGTTTTTGTTGAAAAGGGAGCCATAAGCCACGTGCAATGACCAAAGTTATTGCTAACTTCCTCCTTATCTACATCTGTCTTCTGAACACTTCCTGAATAGGTAGACCTTTTTTTTGCATGCATAAACAAGAATACTTATATAGATTTTGTATAGAAAACCATTTGGTTTTAGGTATTATGAATTGGTTGATTCACATGGTATATTTCAATAACATGTTACCTGAAATATATTAATGTATCTTTACATCTTGCTTCATTGGCCCCTTGCCGGGTTTATTGGTGGGCTTGGATTTAGTATTTTTTGTTTTTTTTATATTTTTATCTTCTGTGTTTTTATTACTGGTCTACTGTAAACACATTATATACTCATTAATATTGATTTAAATGCATTAATAGTTACACTGAGCCTTTGCAAAGTGTACTTATTTCACTATTTTCTACTGTGACTTTCTAAGTAATAATTG